TGTTTGTGTGTGTGTGTGTCTTGATGGATAGCCTTTGAATGGGCCGTATGCAGACAGAGCCGGCCGAAGTCGGGATGATAAAAACCCTAATATCATATTCATAGACAGCCAGAGAAAATGGATTGGGGCAAGAGGAAATTGCTGCAGTTACCATGACAATGTCCGAATAAAAAGAGAGACGTCATTCTGTCTGTGTTGAATATGTAGCAGAGTGAAAACTGATCTCTCCTCTCCAGAAAAGGAGAAAGTGTCATCCTGTTCACTGTTGATTTATTGTGGATGAGAAGTGTGTGCATGTTAATGCTCCTCGTAAATCTAAAATCCAGAGTGTTTGGAAGTTGCCTGTATCAAAGTTTGAATCAAAGCTTCCATCCATCTATCCTGCACTAACACTCATACACTGGATATCTACTGGTTTTATAGTCAAACCATATGTTCTTGTGTCTCTCAGATGTAAGATTACCAAACTAGTGTGTGATCTCTGTTTGACTGGACAGGAAACGACAAATCGCAAACAATATCGGCTCATATAAACATTCAAACACTAATCAACATAATATGGTTGTTTAGTGACCTTCAAACTACAGACGTCAACTTCAAAGTATGATTCTAATTGTAGTTAATAGTACTTGAAACACAACCTCCTTCCTGTGAGGTCTCCAAGAAGCAAGCTGCAATCCCGTGAGCTCCTTTTTTCATAATGAGTCATTAGCTTGGAAAACATCCTCACATGCCCCCACATCTCAACATCATCTTTTTCTTTATACTAACAAAGACACTTCTCTTTGAAGACACACGATGCACCCGATCGAACCAGCGTATAACAGCGATGTTAGTGAACTTAACTGTTCCTCTAATAACAAAGCATCCTGGCAGGGTTTTACACAGACCACTGCTAACAGCCTGAAGCTGTGCGCTTTTGATTCACATGTGTAATAATGCAGAGCATCCAAGCTTGCAAACCCGCAAACAACAGCATTGGTTTATTTAAGATCTCAATGTTATTACAATGACATTGTATTTCTACTTAACTAATGGAACAAAACAACATTTTAATTACTAGAAACACATGTAAATCAAAGTTTTGACTTAGAGTTATGTTTCAAGTGTTGATTTAAAGTATTTCAATAATTGTGATTTTGTATAGGCTATTTTTACCTCATATGTAGCCAGCCGGTCCAGGTAGGAGAGAAGCTTCAGTCGGCTCCGACACAGCTCCTTCTGCTCCAGAGTAAGCCTAAGCAAGCGCAAAGAAACACACACACACAAATCAACAACACAAGCATTTCAACACAACACAACACAAAGAGCTCTTCATTAATTTCTAGATCTGAATAGACTTGTGTTCTTTTCTAAAAAGCTAAATCCAACTTGAGGTTTAGGCCCAAACCCATTTCACCCCTTCTCCCTCCCCCTTAGCCCTTCCCTTCCCATTGTCATGTCTGTTTACATTAACAACTACTGATGACATGTCGGGTTCCCTTGACGACTACTGATGACGTATCGGCTTCTTGAAGTTCTGTCCCAATACATAGGGGAAGATTTTAACCACTTGTAACTCCATTTCAAGGGGCAAGATAACCCTCGAAAACAAGGTGAAGGGGTAGGGTTGGGGTGAAATGGGATTGAGCCCTAGTCTGTTCATAGCACATACACACTGGCTTTAAATTAACTGCAAATTGACTCTATACAGTACGCCCACAGGGCCCTACAGTATATATCAATGCTTGGGACCGGTGACTACAGTACCACATAGTGCCCTCTAGATCTAATCATTTTCTAAGCGCAACAAATCAAGTTCTTATAACCATAAGAACCCTTCAGTGTTATGTATGGGATGCTTGATGTCAATGAGGTGAGTGATCGCCCCATGTGAATCAAATCCATTTTCAATGTCATTTAATCACGACCATAAATAAATTGGATGACCACGAACACCAAGGCACAGGGCTATATGGGATCTACCTGCAATTCAATCACTCAAGGAGCCACAAGGCTGAGAACTACAGCGAATGGTCAGGTGTGCCCCCATCACTTCTCACATACTCACACACTCCCAGTTCACTCCATAAGTAAATAGCTTGAGCAGGCGAAGTGGTGGCCAAAGCTCTCTAAAAACTTGGCCTGGATCAACCGCAGTGTGAACACTGGGGAGCTGACCCCTTCACCGCCATCTTAATCCTTAATCCCTCATTACAGAGTGCGCTATCAGGCCGTATCAGGGTTCCTCCACATTGGGCTAACAGAGATTAACAGTGTCTGAACACACTCTCTGGCACATCAAAGAGTGGCGGCTTAGCACTCACACTGGTGGTAATTATTACTCTGCCTCTTTACTGCAAAGTAAGAAAAGTGGAGGTGGAGGGAGGAGAGCGGCAGCAGAGGAGAGATGGAGCGGAGATGATACCAGATATTAGAAAACTATTAGGTGTTTGTGTTTGTGCCTGCATGTTTGTGTGCATCTTGCATTTCAAAGCAATCCAGGTTATTACAAGCAGATGGCATCACTCCTCTATCTCTGTACACACCCCAAATACGACTGTACTAGACAAGATATTGAAATGCATAAACAGGCCAACACACTCACATACAGGCACGGAAACACACACGCAGTAATGTGGTGTGTGATAAAAGCGATTATCACGGTGCGAGGGACAAAATTGGACTGCATAAACAGACAAAAATACTTTGAATGCACGTGGATGTGAAAGTAAAAGCAGACACACACACACACACACACAATGCTGGAGCAAATGAGAAAATGAGACATCCGACTGAGGTCAGAATCTGATCAAATGAACAAAAAGACATTGCAGCACACTTTCATCCTCACTCGCTTTCAGCCCGTCCTGCTCACCCTCTCTCTCTTTCCCACACACACACACTCGTACACACAACACCTGCAGTATTGTCCATCTTCGTGTTGCATGCAGAGAGCCAGAGCAGCAGTTATAATGGTCCTTGGTGGATTCTGAATCACTTTATTATGCAGACTGATGAGAAAGAGGCTGAAATGTGAAACTATCTGCATGCAGTCGAAACGGCAGTTTTAAAATGTGCAAAACAAACGACACTGAACTGGTGCATGACAGTGAAGAATAAAAACAGAAAGCAATACCCAAGTGCTGACTAGGTCTGTATTTTATGTGACATTACATTTCAGGATAACTGCAAAACATTGATTAGGGCTGGAAGAGTATACCTTGCAGTAACAAGACAGGATTGGAAAAGTACATTAACATCCATCATTTTATTGGGTACTTTAAACTAAGAGGGAAATTAACATCTTTTAGTATCTTTTATAGGACAAGAAAAGTCGATTGAGTTGATTTTACTCCAGTTACTGAAAATGTGATTCTCTCCTGGACAAACTGCAAACTTTAAAAGTGACTTCAAAAAGTCTTTTTTCCTTTCGTTTAACCTATAGGATAATAATCACTGCTTCATTACACTATTCTGGCTGGTGATAGAAAATGCACCTGATTGATCATGTTCTTCTAGCGCACACACAACCTTCAAACATGTAGCAGGACAAGAGATGCACTCTGTGTGACAGTCGATATTTAAATACAGTCCTCATCAACACACAAGAGCAACACACACACAAGCACACACAGACATGGTCGGAGCAACTGTGATCGATACTGAGCCATTTCTGTAATGGTGGTGTAGTTAAAAAGAAATTAAGAGAATTATTATCTGTCTCTGGCCTCGGCCACGGGGCTCAAGGCAACATGGTTGAAACCATTAGTGAGGGGCTTCACCACACACACACACACACACACACACACAGTTTGGGGATGTGTGTGAGCACGTTGACACTCTGACTCAGAGATAGGGGAAGAAGAAAAATAGGCATATTTAAAGGAGGTAATTCACTGAGGATTTAATGTAATGGTTTCTTTAATGTTTGTAAATCGATTGTTTTTACTCCCTCTTATATTTCTTTCTTATCCTCCATCTTTTCTCTATCTACCACAGACTACAGGCCTGAAATAAAGCTTAGCAGTTTTATTACACAATGAGCTAAACAGAAAGAAAATCAAACGGGTAAAGGGACGAGGACACTAAAAAAGGGAACTGTGGGATTTATGTTACAGTGTTTCTGCTCCTGCTCATTTGAATGCAGACTCACTGGCTCATCTGTAGAACAATAGAGACCAACTACCAAGCTTTAAATACCTGAATGTACAGTAATTACATATGGCTATGCAATTTAAATCATTCATTTCAGCACAGGCACATGTTCCTTTTGCTTGTATTTGGTTATTTTAACACACACGTGTAATATGTTTATGAATTTTGGCTGAGGAGTGTTTCATGATGCAGGTGTCTAAGCATGTGCATGAATGTGTGCACGTGTGTGTGTGTGTGTGTGCATGAGAGGTGATTAGTGATCACTAAAGGGTTTTTCATTAGTCTTTCCCTGGGCACTCAACAACAAAGGCATAAATTACCTCCAGCAGATTACCCACTAATCTCCACCAACGCTTTTTCCCCTCTCTCGCTCCCTCATCCTCATTAATGTCATTGCCTTTATGATCCCCTCTCTGCTGTGCGACCTAATCAAACAATCACGGTTAAAATGTGGCAGCATTCGCTCCCATTTCCTCCTGGTTTTGTTAAATGCCTTCACCTCAATTTCTCATTTTCTTTTTTTTGAATAGGGTAGTCACTCTTCCCCGTTGATACTGGAGGTAATCATGACTTTAAATGAATCTTTCTGAACAGCAGGTAACAACCTGCCAACAAGGAGAATGACATGGGTCAGTGTCGGCTTTTCTCTGTCGGATTTTTCCACCCACCCAACAACCTATGCTGACACTTAGAAGCTGGTGTTGGTGCACAGTTATTAGTCATTTGTCATAAAAGCAAAGTGAAAAAATAGGAGTATTATCCAGCAAAAGGATTATATTTAAAATACACTCTTTGGTAACTGGCAAATGCTTTGTAAAAGAGCCTGGCTCCTGCAGCTGAAGGATGGTGTGGGTAACTACTAGTGCTGGTGATTTGTTTAAATAACTCTTCTCCTCTCTGTGCATTTAGAATATTGGCAGGATTTCTGCTGGCTGTGACTTCTTCACATGTTGCCTTACTGAACTACCAGGCTGACTAACCAACCGTCCGACTGGCTGCATACCTGCTAAAGTCCACCTTGGCAAGCAGTTCTTGTCTCTTCCTGTTCTCCCTCTCCTTCTTATTCTCCAACTCCTCATCATCCGACAGGATGTCTTCGTAAGGGAGGTCATCGAGGTCAACATCGCCTGGCATGATAAACCTAGGAGAAGGATGTGAAATCACATAGAGGCACAAAGTAAATATGAACTAGAAGGGTGAGAGTGCACCCCTCCACCAAAGCCCAACAGTCTCCTTATGAAATCACATTAAAGTTCACTAGATTTGGATTTGAATCTGCATCAAATTGCAAATATTCATAAAAAATGCCTGCTTTTTTTTTTCTTTTTTTTTAAAGATCCGTGAATTTCTCTGCAAAATCCCAGAAAATGTTGGAAAACCCCCTATCTAGCAATGTTAAAGAAAAGTTGCTTATCAATATCAACACTGAATAGTAGTAGTAGTTATTGCATTATCTCGCTTCCTAATGGACAAGAAAACAAACCATTACCTACTTGGTGGAGGTGATAAAAAAAGAGGCAGGCAGAATGAGCTTCAGGATGAAGCTGACGAATTGTGATTTTGCTATAGCTGATTATGTATGTGCAAGAATTGCGTTGGTGTATGTACATGTGTTCGTGTGTACATGTGTTCGTGTGTGCCCTACCTGCCCCCATCCTCTTTGTTCCCTATGGCTATCAGGGCCTCAAGGTCAGTTCCCTTCAGGCCATACTGCAGCAGCTCCTTGGCAGCATCAACATTCTCTGGGACGCGTTCCACACACTCATGCAGCACCCAAGACCGCTTGCGGATCTTGCTCTGGGTTAAGGAATGTAGGGAGCGGAGAGGGAGCCGGGATGAGTTCAGAAGAAATGGTGGAATAAAATGAGATACAGTATTGGGGGGGTGAAAATTTGCAACAAATTGGTAAAAATGATGCGTGAAATAGAGTAACGGGGTCGTGCTGCACTTCAGTGTGCGCTTCTCCTGCTATTCCAAACACATTTACTGTATATTTATGACCTGCCATCTAATATACTAAGAAAATCCCAATGCTCTGCCAAAATTCTTTTTTCACTCTTCTTTCCCACCCCTGATCCTCATTTGCTCACATCCGTCTTTCTTATTTCTTTCATCTCTTACCAGATAATCCTGGATGGAGGCGATGCTGACGGTACTTTTCCTCCACTGTCTCTGGTAGACCAGATCAGAATCTAGATTATACGCGTGGGCAAGAGAAAGGGCTTCACCATATTCCTCATTGTCAATCTGTGAAAGAAATGCACATAAAACACATTATGAGGACATAAATCAATATATGTGCATATTTTGAACAGACAGCACGGAAACAATGTGAATAATCAGAGAAGACAAGAACATGAATAATCATTTGAAGGTGATGTAGACAAGTGTCGGAACCAAGCAGACAGCAGCTCGAATTAAGTAGCAAATTAAGTTTTCTGATGTTATATTTAAAGTTGGGAGCAAAACAACATAACTGCAAAACAATTAATTCATTGCCTTTTCTTTGAGATACTTTTTAATGTTTCTTTTATTATATCTAATTATCATCCCAGGGGTATATTACCAATTCAATCTTCATGCAATGTGTTTCTTAAGAGAATGAAATGACTAAAATACATTAAATGAATTAAAACCATGTGATATTTACAGCAAATCCCTGAGTAAAGAGAGAAAAGTTAATGGCCCAATTTTTTCATCACACTGAAGGACAAAGAAGTCTTTAAATGAGCCTGGGCAATAGCTATGGCACTTCTAAAATCCTGAGTACGCACAATGAATACTCAAAGACTGAATGGGAACAACTCAAACATGCAGATTTCGATCTGTGTAGCAATGTGACACAGACTGAATTGGATGTGCTGCAGAGGGATAAGGAGAAAGACTAAAGGGGAATCAAGTATTTTGGGGATATTTGAAGGAAGAAAATCTGCAGGGCAAAAGGAGATCAGTCAGTCTGAGCCCGAGGAGCTGGTCATACAGGATGAAGACATATGGCCTGAACTTTTCAGAACTTATTTGGGATCAACACCGCAGGGAACAGACTTACTAACTCAAAAAGTCCTTGAAAACTTCAAACTATGGACGTGAAATTCAATGAAACCAAAAATTCTTCCATCTCCCCATTACTATAAAAAATGAGTCGAAAACATAATGTAAGGTTCAAAAGTAAAAAAGAAAAACATGTTGGCCAAATGCTGAAATACAGAACAAAATTATTCAAATTGACTATTTAAAATGATCTAAACTTATACTGAGTGTGTGGAATGTGGGGAATAATGGTCTAATTACAGCTATATTTCAAAGTGGTGACAAATTTGACACTCACATGTGTCACCAGCTGTATGGACAAGGACAACACCAACTCCTGTGTAGTTAAATCCCTCAATGACAACAATGTCCTCCATGAAGGTCAGACTGGATTCATGCCTAACCATCGCACACGTGACATATATTCATCCTCACCACTCTCATTAACACACATTAAGTATACCACTTATCCTCATTATGGGTCAATGGGGAGCTGGAGTCAATCCCAGTTGACATTTGGCGAGAGGCGGGATACACCCTGGTCACTTCACCAGCAACAGTCATTCACTAACATACACACCTACTGTCACTTTAGAGTCTCTAATTAAGCTAAACCCAATTTCCTTCCACTTGGAGAAAACACACGCACAGGCCTTCAAACTGGGATACGAACCAATAACCTTCTTCTTGCCACATGTGCAACTGAATAAAAACAACTATTATTGTAGATTTAGAAAAGGTTTTTCACTGTATTTTGCATGAGGGTCCCTTTAAGTAATTATTAGTGGCACGGAGGGGGGAGTAAAATCTATTATGTCTCATTAACGGATGTGCAATGGAAACAAAAGAACCAATTACTTCAAGCAGCACTTCAACATATATACATCAATTTGCAGAGCAGCTGTGAAAATCTACAGCCTGTGGTATAACAGCAGGAAACAGAGGTCAAATGTTTTCTGATGACCAGTCTCTCCTGTTGCCCTCCACAGACATCTACTATGGAGCCCGGACCTCCTCCACAAGTTCAGGCTAACATGGGACTGACTATAAATATGGAAAATGAGTATACTTATCATAATACATATTGAGGCTGTGAGTATCAATTCCACTGGAGATTTCGGCATGGCAGTGAATGAGCTGGATGAGAAGGCAAATTGGGTTTTTAACGCCATCAAAAGAAAAAGAAAATCTGGTTCATATTCACGTTTAGAACTGGCTCAATAATCTAAATCCAGTGACAGACCCAATAATATTTTAAGGTGGTGAGGTGTGGAGTCCATTAACCAGCCAAGACCTCCCAAAATGGAAAAAAACATCCACTGAAATGGATGCAGTATAGTGCAAGTAGTTTTATAATTAAAATTCATAAGAGAGCCATCAAATTTTATAAACACCTCCAATCTAGCGACCAACACTCCTATCAGTGCAAGGCCCTTCAGCTCGAGAGGTGAACATAGATAAGTGTCCCCTCTGCCAGCTAATCAAAAAGCTCTCTGCCCACACACACACACAAGATCTCAGCAAAACAATGTGACCCAAGGTAACCGAATTATATTGGAACGAAACCGCCAATTCACAAAGTAAATTATTCTACTCAACCCTAAACAAAGAGTGCATGGTGGCAGAGTACCTGACCACCATGACTGATGGAAAACTAAAGAAATGTTGACAATGTTCAGACTAGGTGGACAGAGGCCAGGCCATTGAAAGAAACCCAAAGGATGAATCAGGGGACAGAAAAAGATTAACTGTGGTCTTAATGTGTTTTGAGTCCATGTCTACGTGGGACTGCAATCGGAGACTCTAACTTTACCATGTGAATATGAGTGTGATTGGTTGTTTGTCAGTGTGAAACATCATGATTGACAGCTCCATCCCCCCATCACTACTGCGAAGATGTCTTCAGCACACCGTTTTATCTTCATGTACAGTCAAAGCTGCAGCCTGTCATCTTATTACTATAATGTATATAGTTCTTAGGTAGGAGCAGTTGTTCTCGTTGTCATAATTAATACAGAATTAGCCTGGTAACACATGTCAAGACATGATGGTGCTTAAAGAGGTTTTGTGTCGTATCAGTGTCTCACAAAATGATTTGATCCCGCAACATCATGACACCTCAGTTTATTCAGGCCCACACAATGTGCATTAGAGTGCATGCGTGACTGACACACTGAGTATCCCTCTCTCTCTCACTGTGTAGGAGTACAAAGCAACACATTAGCCAGACTGCGCTTCCTCGAGGGCAATAAGAAACCCACACAGTTAAACCTCTCGTAGGAGGACATCAAAAACTGCTTCCTTCTCTCTCTGGATTTAGCTAATAAAACTGTTAGCAGCCCTGCTAGTGTGCTACTCATATACAGGCAGGGTTACGCCATTGAATGCATCATCAAACTCCTAAAGACAGGAGGGGGTCGACTCGAGGAAATCACCCGGACTCACCCATTCTGGACTGTTCACAGTCCATTGGACCAAAACCTTAACTGAAGCGAGGCTTCACAGAGAGATGAGGTCATCCAAGGAGAGATCTGGTCATTCTGGTTTGTGTGTGAATGAGTATGTGTGTGTATCAAACTGTACTGATCTAAAACGAGTGATAGGCACTGACAGGCACAATAAACCACATGTGCATGCATACACAGACGTACACACGCATGCAGACATTACGGACACCTCTCCTCCTCTTCACTCATACGCCTACATGTGCGGTGTATGTGTGCTGGACAAAAACCCAACAGGAAAGCAGCAGCTGGTGAAGTGCCGCGGCTACCAAGTGTTACAAAGAGATAATAATGATGTATTACTTTCTAACTCTCCACTGTTAGGATTGATGGTGATGACTAATGGCATCTAATGATGATGACAATGATGAAGAAGGCAGCAGATGATGGGTCATAAAAATGACTGATGAACCGTGCTCAAACTTGGGGCCGTCGAGAGCCGATACCACTCTCGCTGTGCTTTATGATCGAGCGTGTTGTTGTCTTTGCTGCAATTTGTAGTGAGCAGCAACGACAGCCATATTTCTAATGCAGCAATTAGCATTTCAGAAGAACCCCTGGGACTGAGCAACAGCCTTAAAGCAGACTGAACATCTTGCTTGGTTTTCATTTCTCCTCCTCAACAGCGTGCTGGAGCTGATCCAACAAAACAATAGCACTTCACTGAGCTGGCACAGGATTTATTTAGTTGGAAACCAGTTTTGCAGATCAGCCGGATATAATTCATTCAATGGCCAAACAGATTAATATGACGTCCTTCAGTTGCTGCTAAAATCGGCGGCCAAAAGAAATGAATTCAATGTGAGATCAATCTCTAAAGAAGAATACTGACAACTGCTCTTAAAAAAAGGATTGCTTACATTATAGTGTTTTGTGTATCAGTCTGAATATGATGTGCAAAAGTGCAAGGTATCACTGATGAAACCAAATGGGTGATATCAGTTTATTTGGCAAAATTAATTTAAAGCACCGTATGAGAGAGAGAAGTGCACGTCAGCACTGGAACTGTTGTTTACATTACCGACCTGAAAGAACATCGGAATGGAAACACGAAGGCATTATGGCATGAACACTGAGTAAAGCTTTTGTCACCTAAGCGTTTTGTAGTGCGAGTGCTGCAATGAATAAGTAAACAGCAACACTAATGTGACTCTCCATTTTCTCCCCAAATGTGGATATGCTGCCTCATTCTGAGGACTCCTACTGGGTTGAACACACCGCAGATAAAACTAACTTGTTAAATCAAAGTACCTGTCCAAACAGATCACATTAATAATCTGACTGGAAATATGCCAGCGTCAATGCCAATACTAATATATCAGCTCATATACAGTATACCGTGTAAGGAAAAACATCAATGATCCCCACAATGTCATTATCAAACCATTATGACAAAGAAATCTAATTTAGACTTGTTAGTTTACAGTTTGACTGTAAACTTAAATAAGAAGAAAACCCAATTACAACCAAATATTAAGGGTGATTCATCGGCCACCGATACAGTATCGGTTCATACACCCTTTAATTAGTTTGATCTGCGATCTCTATAAACGCAGATCAGAGCATCTGATCAGATGAGGCAAAACAAACAGCTGGAAGTGCAACTCTGAACAGAGATGAGACGGAATTAAGATGGCTCATTCACATTATTTTCAGTAAATACTTTGGTATTGTAACTTAGGTAGTATTTTGGTAATGATTTTTTTTCCTGGAGCTGAAATCATTTTTCAGTAGATGTTACTGTAAGTGTAGCTTATAATGAAAACTTAGCCAACTTTGCCTTTAATTTTCTAAATATTCTACAGTAAAATCCTCTGAAACTTGACATACTGACAGTGGAGGTCACCATGAACAAGAGGGAGGTGAAAAATCAGTTTTAATAATATTTAATATGAGCAAGTTATGGGTGCTCATATTGGCTAATATGATAAGTCAGGCTCTAGTGATTAGACTTCCCCACAGAGTCGCTGAGCTCTTGCTGCTCATGAAAATGCTATTATGCTGTTAAGCAGGTACGATGATGACCATGTTAAACAACCACCGCACAAGGGTCTCATTATTCTCCCTTTATGTCATGAAGCACTTTCAAATTTTAAAGTGGTCAGGTCACCATATGGATTCGGGTTTCACAGGAAGTGCAGAAGGAGCGCTCTGTGAGCTTTCATATGTTTTTCACATTCTGCTGTCGATGTTATAAACAAGCTACTCAAGTTTCAAGACAGATTAATCGCGTGTGAAAACTAATATTCCTCATTCACGAGCTGTGTCAGCCTCCTACCTTCCTCTGGTACAGTTCCTCTGGCGTCGTTGACCTCAGGCTGACCAGACGGTAGTTCTTGACAACGGTGCGGGGGCGCTTGCGTGGCGGGGCAAAGCGCTCCATCTCAGTCACATAATACAGACCCTGCTTGATGTAGCCAAAGTAGCGGGCTTTGGCTGAGGACTCTTCGTCTGAGTCGGAGTCCCCTCCATCGTCGCCCTCTTCATCCTCGCTTGCCCCAGCACTCAGGTTGCTCTCCAGACGCGCACGCTTCTGGGCGAGCTTCACCTCGCACTGAGGATGAAAGAAACCCAGCATTAGGAATGGGATGGGGGTGGGCTCAGTGCCCAGAAATAACAAAAGGTTAAAAGAGGTTTTTAAGCAGGGGTATTAAAGAGCTGAAATGAAAGTTCACAATAAGATCAGGTAAAAGAGAAAAGTAAAGTTATTTAAAACAGAAATTTGAATTGCACAACGAACATGCCCTAAAAGAGATCATAAAGCCACAGTTGTCATATTACATAAAAATACATCTGCCTTGTCATCCCGATCATAAAGTGAACAGACCCAACACCCATGTGAAGAGTGAAAAAGGAAGCGCGTGATTCAGTGAAGCACAGTTTACATCTAGCTGTGCTCTCACTGGTAAACACACTTAATTTCACGCCCACGTGCAGGATCAGCGGGCTGTCTGAGCACAAAACAACTGTGAGGTCAAGCTGCTTGATAGAGAATCTAAATCCAAGCTGCCAAAGTTCGTTCTTCAACTTCAACAGTCTTGTTTTCTAGTTTTGTGATTGCCTCAGTTGGGGAAGAAAAATATTATTTGCTCATTTATCATCTGCACACTGTAGCGAGAAGCCCTCATATTTCGTAGCGATGCCCCTCTGGGTTTTAGCCCACTAGAGAAAAACAAAATGCCAGCCCTTCCAACAGAGCTCTGCTCCCAGCTGGGTTGTTATGAAACATTTAGCACCTGTAAAACATTAAGCATCTTAATCAATGTGGAGCGTCTATAGTGCTGCACTAATACGCTACACTAACTCATCACACGCAAGAAGATGCACATGTGCTTTTCATCATTAATACACAATGTCACATTATTTCACATCGATGGAGGTGCACCCACTAACAGCCAAATCTTCAATTTCCACCCATATAAAATTGCAGGCGTTCATTCTCCCACTCCGTGCTAAAGCAGGCTGATGAAACATCTCCCCAAAAGTTGGCTGGCAAAGAAATCTGTTTTTTTTTGCTGCTTTCAGATGGCAAGAAACAAAGAAGGAGACTGAAACAAAGAGGAGCGAAAGGGTGATGTGAAATTGGGGTCTTTATGGGGGAGGGGTAAAGAATCAGTGATAAATATTTCATCATAGCTTTCATTATACACACCCTCACACATGCTTTTACACAATGATGCTCAATATGACTACAAACATGAAGAAATGTCTTGAGATTTTTTGATTTTTTTAAGAAAAAGCCATCCTTAGAGGAAACCCATCAGCCCATCAGGATCTATCAGGAATCAATGCACACATTCCTGTTGGGATTGACTTTCCTGCACAATAGACTCACTTTGCCTCAGAGAGTGTCTTTTTTTGAGCCAATCTTTTAACATATACAGTAATGACCTTGAATTCCCACTCGCTCAGCCCCTTTCTCTCACCTGCAGGCATCCAGTCGTGTGCACCCCTGAACTGAAGAGGCAGATTTTTTAATCAAGATCTATGAATTATTCCCTGAGTTGGTTAAAATCAAAAAAAAATCTGCACCAAAATTCGATTATTTAAAGGATGTTCTAAAAGATGCTTAAAAAGTCTCACATACATTCCTAGAAACTCCTCTCTCTGTTTACTTCAACCACAAATGCATCCCCCCATCCTGACATTTACCTCCAGGCTGAGGAAGCCCCCGTCATGCGCGGCAGTGACTCGAGGCGAAGGCTCGAACCATTCGCAGGATTTGCCCAGGAGGTTGCAGAGTGTCCTGACAGATGAGACGGTGACAGAGCCTGAGCAGCGAGCCATAATCAACACGTTGTCACTCCACCAGCTCACATCCACCAGCGGGTAATACTGCTCCTTATCTGCGACAGATATGAAGAGACACAGGGAGTATAATGATGTGATCAGACACAAGGGGAGGCTGGGTGAAAGCTGTATTAAAGTTTTCATACTTTGTGGACTTCGACCCAAATTTTTGGGTGATAATAAACTTCTTTTTTTTTTAACGGTTTCATCCTCTGAGACATATTTACACCTGGAGTCATGTTTATCACTTGTCGTGCATGAGATGACGACTTAAACACAGATTATTTCTAACACAAGCTGTCACGGCAGTCATCACCACTGGCCCAAAACTGTCAAAAAAAAGGCGGTATAGCTGCACAAACAGGCACAAGCATAGAATACACACACTCACAAGCATGGACACTGAAGAAGAAAAATATCTGCTAGCCTTGGCATACGGTTGTATGTCTAAATAACTGCACAGTTGGGTGAATAAGACGTGTCGAAGATCATTAAATTGTATCCAGTGTGTACCACTGTGTCAGCAACAAGGTCGGCTCCCTCCAAAACCGTTCGGGCCAAACTACCTTTTATCTTCTTCCTTCTCTCCAGCGATGTCTTCCACTCGGGGTTTATCTCTTCAAATCCTGGCTGAGGGGAGGACCGAAGGATGTAGGCACCAGAGAAGAAGGGAGGGAAAGCAGAAGAAGAGGAAGAGAAGGGTGAGGGCGGCATTAATCTGCTAACCCTGTTTATTCTTACAGCACGCACGCACAGACACACACACACACACACACACACACTCACACCATGATTCGGAGGGAGTCTGCAAATAAAAGTTCTCTCTAAGCCACCGGACTTAATGCATAATGTCACACACATACACATACAAGCTGTCCTTGCATACACACATACTCTCATATTTGGGCCAAAGAAAGATTACATTAATACAGTCAGTCAAGCAGCTAATGCATAAAATATTAGCAGGACACGGTTTTATCCTCCATAAGCGAAATCTTCCAAGCTTACAGAAAACACACAAGCAGCTTCGGGGTGTACCTGTTGGTCCTGGCTCCATGTGGCCCTCTGTTTGAGCGAGGGGACGTCCCAGAGAGACAGGCGGCCAGAGAAGTGGATGACGGCCAGGAGGGTGCCATCGGGGCTCAGGCTCATGCGGAATACGCCATCCTGGACAACACAAATGCACACACAGAAATTTTGGCTTGAGAAAATGCCCCCTCCATCACAATGAGGCAAACAGAGGGAATGGAGCCACTGTACCTTTTCATCCCCCTGTCTTGGAAAGAATCTGAAGCTGGGAATCCTAAAGAAACCTCTCTTCTGATTCTAGCAGAGGACAAGAATGATGTGTGTGTTAGACCCCGTTTGAATACTTGAGCATGAAGACATGTGCTAGTGTGTATTCTCCTCACTGGATTGACATCGTCCTCATAGCTGGTGACCTGCTTGTAGTGCGGCGAGCCGGAGAGAGTCCTCCAGGCTGTGATGCCACGGCAGGAGGCCTTGGACGTACTGTCATCCCCAGACTCACAGCCTCCCACCAGCAGCAATCTGGAAAACAAGCACACGCACGCACAGTTACCACCTCCATGATTTCACCCTAACCAATCAATTAGCACTACCTTACATGGGCGGCAAATTAAGGTGGTCACTGTGAGGTCATCCTTCAGCTTGGATTCAAGCCAAGTTATCTGAATTTTACATTTTGCAAGGCACTGGGTTAAAAGTTATTTATCAGAGATTCTTTTTTCTTTTCTTGTTGGAATCAATTGCCAGGTTAAGACACAAACCACACCGCAATGACCACAGTGGTGTGCAGGTCTGTCTTTGCAGTGAATCAGAACAGATGCCACTGTGACTGGGCTCTGGGGGGGTGTGATGGAAGATGCATTGCTGTTCAGCTCAACACTGCCCCCTGGTGCAGAGGAATTGGACATTAAGTGAGTGCCAAGATATGAAAGTGAGTTTGTTAACTGATAGCAGTTTTTTGTGTTTTTGTAGTTGCTCAAGTCTGATATATAACATTTACTGTAAAATTTGATCTAAGGTTTCATTACAACAGATGCTGGACTTCTTCTAACACCCCTGGTGCAAATCTGTATATTCTGCACATACATGCATAAATCTGTCTGTAATTTATGATAATGAAAATATCTTATATCAAGCCATAGTGCACCATAATATACAACATGTTATATCTTCATCAATATACTAGTAGTATAGTTTTTGTAGGTTTAGCTAATTGAATTATTTTGCCTTTATTCAGTTTCTCACCTTGTCTTTTACTTGCCTCTAACCTATTCTCTCTGCTGCCGACCCACTTTTCACAAAGGGATCATTAAAGTTTCATCTCATCTATCAGTTGGCAAACATTTGACAGTAGCTGCCAAAATCCATTAAGCTGCCAAATCGAGCTCACTGGCCAAACTAAGCCTGGTTTTCCTGCAGACTGTGGGAGTGTGGTGAAAAACAGTGAGGTCACAGGGCACGATTTGGACATAAATAACTGATACCTTTGACTGCAGCATGGTGAGGGAGGCCAAGGACGCTCTGGACCGCTATGGTCTATTCCTACAGGTATTGCATTAAAGTGATTGTTTCATTTATTCCTGAGTAAGCCCCTTGGCCCTGTTCCATAATGTAACATCTTGTGCCTGTGCAGGAATGTGTGTATAAAAACCTTTTTCAGTACTTTTATTGCAGTGTTTTATAGAATAAACTGTATACTTCAGCTGCATAATCTGCCATCATGGTAAATTGAAGTTCCAGTAAAGTGGACTGTATAAAAATCAGGTTTATTTATAAGCATATTGACGACATACTCATATTGCCCCAAGATGTCAAATGATGAAAGCGTTTGAAATCACATTTAAACTATATACGCCTTCACGTAGCATCATCAGTAATGGGTTTAAGCATAAAAATTGATTCAAAGGATGCATAATGATGCCTGTAGATGAGTATGAACCTATGAAACATACCCCTGATGAAACACTTTTCTAATAGAAGTAGGCTCGGACTGTGAGGGCCAGAGAAAATAAAATGTGTAAGGTTGTCAAGTAAATGCCACAAGCCGTAGTTACACTGCCACTGATTGATTAAAAGCTAAACGCTGGCAAAAATATTCATTCATTATTTCAGCTATTTTCTACGAACACCACAGACAGATGTGCTGTCGTATTGATGGTAACAACTCTCTTACCGGTGGCCCGGGTGGTAAATAGCCGAAGTGATGCCATGGGAGTAGTGGGCAGAGAAACTGAAGCTGTGGTTCTCCTGAAAGTTCTGATTGGTTCCCACACTGAGACAAAGGGGAAAATGAAAGTCACATGACAAGCCACCTATGACTGAACTCTCCAAATATATAAACAATCAAAACATAAACACTCCCAGTAAAAATGTTAATGGTGCGACAAAGATGTTATGGCTTAGAATTTTCAATTCCAGCTGCAATTAAAATGAGACATGGCAAAATATAATCTTTAGATTTAAGTGGGCATCTAAATTGGATTGGTACTAGAGGAGATGTTGTGTAATTTGGAGTGTAATTTGTGGGATATCTCGCCGGGGAAATGTTCCCTAAACTATAGAGAGAAGAGGAGATGGAGGTAAAGCAGGCGAGTGCACGGGGAAATAGCTGGGAGATCTGCACGGCTCCAACAGTTCAGCTTCCTCCAGACGTCTACATGTGTACAACATTAAAGCAGCGTGTGTGTGTCTATGAGTGTGTATGTTTGTGGGGCGTACACACACATACACAGCAGTGCTGGCACAGAGCAGCAGAGATGACTTACTGTCAAGGCTCAGCTATAATTCTGAAATTGTAATTCAGTGTGTTTGAGCGACAATATTGGAATGCAGTCATATGAAAAGGAAGAGTGAGTATAAGCTCCATATTGAAAATGAACCTTGAAAAACAAGCCAGCGCTTTCTGAGTAAATCTGGTGCAAATGTCTCCCTCATCTTAATTAACTCCACACACACACACACACACACACACACACACACACACGTATCAATCTTTGTAAGGAAGGCATCATCAACCCATTACCCTAACTTAAAGGTCCAGTGTGTAAGATTTAGGTGAAAGGGAACTATTGGCAGAAATTTAAGTTAGAATAATCCTCATGATGTTTTCACTAGTTCATTTCATCTAAATTGTATGAATTGTAGTTTTCTTTACCCCAGAAAAGGCCATTTATATTTAAATACTTTATATTTACATCGGGGGCTCCTCTCTACAGAGGCTGGCATGTTTTTTACATTAGTCCAGACTGGACAAACTAAACACCTTTTGAGTTTTTATGACAATTAAAGGCTGCCACAGGTTCTTTTTCATGTTTGGAAGGAGAGGGCGAGGTGAGGGGTGTTCAGCTGCAACATGCAATTTCAATACTAGATGTCAAATAATTTTACACACTGAACCTTTAACAATCTGAATGTCTAACCTTAGCTAGAACCCTTAAACCAAGTCTTAACCTACAAACAGCCATTCACACTATGTGGGGACAAGTATTTTGGTCCCCACAAAGCCATAATACCCCATAAGTATAGATGGGCTCCCGGTTTTCTGACCTCATGAATACAGTAAAAGAAGCCCGCACACACAACCACACACACACCCTGATGGCTTTTAAAGGCAGCTCTCACTATTTATCTGCCAGTAATGGAAAAATAAATCAGCATTTTCCTCTCATCTTCTCTGCAGAACTGAAGCAATGTCGCCGAGAGCAGGATGCCATCTGATCGGGATTCAACACACATGCACAATCTCATCCTGTGTCTTGGAGTGTCAGCGCACCCAGGCTTGCTGTGATGACAGTAATCTTAAAGAATGAAATGTGGAATCTCTGAAATAATGGCCTATTAAGTTGTGCTAAATTAAAAAAGGGAAGCTGCAGGCACACATGAGGTAAGCACACACAAAATCAGACGTCAAATATTAAAAATGTGTGTTTCAATAAGGATGGCAATTAGTATTCAGAAAGAGAAGTCATTCTGCTGAACGTTTACATATAGATAGAAATGCATCATCAAGCTCCACAGAGGATGCACTGTGCTGTTAAGGTTAGAATAAACATCAAACATGTTGTGTACATTTTGAGGACTGATGAAACTAATGTTGATAAAAAAAAAACATGCAGCACAAAGTGTGGTGTTAAAAAAGCACTGCATACCAACATGAAAATGGTGAAATACTGTGGAGGGGGCATCAGGATTTTGCTGCCACTGGACTGAACAGCAAATTATCATGGAGGGGGAAAATTAATTCCTACGTTCATCTTACAAAATGATGTCTGAGTGGCTGGCTGAGATATGAAACTCATTAGCCGCTGGATGATGCAGCAGGACAATGACCCTGAACGTGAAAATATCAACTACAGAATGATTTCAAATTTTAAAAAACTTTTGGAGTGGCCCAGACATTATTGCAACAGAGAAGTGGAATGACCTCAAGAGTCATTGCAATCAGATATTCTAAATTGAGCCCAAGCGAGGTGGATTTTGGTGGGTTGATATTGATATTATAACTAAAATTATAACTAAAACCAAACTTACAGGAAAATGTATTTGCTGTGTACTTTTACTTTTCATTTTAGTCCATGTCCCATCCACGACCATGGATGAGGCAGGATTTATAACCTATATTGCAGCCAGCCACCAGGTGGCGATGGAGACACTTTGGCTTCACTTTTGGGAGCCCTCAGGTCCATCTTAAAATACTGTTTATGGTCCATGTATCGAATGACAAATTAAAGCAGAATTCATCTAAATCTAAAGGGTTCTCTTACTTTTTCTTCCCACTACATAAGAAGCTGGTGCTTTGGAATCCCTGTAATTTCTCAGTGTATCAGTGTCGTCTCTCACCTGACTAGATAGCTCTTGAGAGCACCACCATATGTGATAACAAGTAGCTCTGCTGACCACTGGGCACTTGCTGTGTACTCCAAGAAGATCAGACCTGCTACTGCGCAGCTGAAATCCCCTGGAAAACTCAGCACCTGGATCAAGAGGGAGAGAGGAAAAGAAGAGTCAGCAGCGGAATGAAAGTGACTGATTTAAATAGTAGATGAAATCTACTATTATCTATTAGTTTGTATCCCGAACAAGTTTTTTTACAGGGGCAAACAACAAAGAAGCATCATACCAGCCATGTTTGTTAAAGGAGAAGAGGAGATGATGGGACAGGGAGAAAAAAAATACGAAAGAGAGAAAGACAGACAGTGAGAGAGATGAGAGATTTATTTTTCCCATCCATGCACACTTTCGGTCAAATTGCCTTTTTTTTTTATCATGTCCTGAAATAGCACTAGTATACGTACTTAACTGTGACAAACAAGAGAAACAGAACAGCAGAATGGAGGGGTGCTGCTGTATCACACACACTGTAGAGATGCATAACAAAGTAGAGTGGCACTCAAAGAATGAGGATCAGAGAAAACTAAATGTGAGCGCAGCTGGGGAGAAGGACATGTGTCTGCCCTAATGGTATCTGACAGGTCGGAGAGGGGGGCGGGAGGAATGATGGATAGAAATGGAGGAATGATATGTTGCATACGGAGGGCGTTAAGAAATACAGACATGAAGTGACAGGGCGACGGGAGCAACGTAAAGGTGCGAGGACGAGATACATACAGGGGGAGGGGAAAAAAAGAAAAAACGACAGGATAAAGGAAAGACTGGGGGAGCGGCAGGTGTGTGTGTGAAAAATTGAACAGGGGAGGTGATGAAGATGGAGAAAGAGTGGTGGAACACCACGAGCACAAGGAAGGGAGAAGAAAAGACAACACACAATGAATTAGAAAGCAGGCATGGCAGACACAGAGTGCAGGGGGTGGAAGACGAGGATATGTTCTCTTCAAATGGTGACAGGCAGCTCAGAGAGCCCAGTAAAATCTGTGCTACAACAGCAGAGCATGGTCCCGACATATCTCTGGAGGAAAGATTATGGATGTCTGAAAGCCCAGAACTGTGTCACTGAAAAGTTACAAATACACTCACATCTGCTGTAGCATAGTTTCAATGATTTGATTTACATGCCAAAAAAAATGTAATCAGCCTACATAGAAACTTTTCTGTGACAAATCAAGGAGGATTTCAAATTAGTAAAACTAATGCAGCGCCTGTTCTAAACCTGCCTGATTGACGCTGGTTGCAGTTTTCTCTCTGAAACTGTAAAAGTCACCTCCAGTAACTGAGCTGCAGCAAGTAATAATGTCAATAAATGTTTGGTTTGCGTAGGTGATGCCGAATCACTTAGCATTTTAATATCATTGCATGCAAAAGAAAAACTAAATCAAACACGAGGTTGAAGGAGATAGAGGGGTTTTTCTTAGATGATTTTGAAGAGCAGGGACATGCGTGGTTACCGGCGGGATGACAAACAGCTCGCTGCCAATGAGGTCAAACAGGCGCACAGTGCCAGTGCTGTCCCCGTAGGCCAGCAGGGTGCAGTCATGGCTCCATGCCACTCTCCGCCACTGGGGGTTTGGGTCCTTTGGCACTGTGACAGACAAAAAAAACAGAAAGAAAGTGGGAGAGTGAATGTTAGCTGAGGATTTCCTGTCAAGCCAGATGACAAAACTCTCTACGAATACTCCTCAGGTCTTCCATGGCACGCAGATATCGAATGCAGATGGAAGGAGGATAAAGCTAATGCCATACATCAGCACTGTGTGTCTAAGGACCTATCCAATTCATCTATGACGGATGGCTTGAGTTATACATCTCAATAATTGTCTCTCAAAAGACGTGCGCACACACACTCTCACATGCACGGTCACGACGGGATATGTGGGGGTAAAAGCGAGGAGTGAGATCATAAATCCAGTTTTTATTGAAGTATAGGCTACTGTTTTACAAATCTGCTGGCTCAGCTGTGCTGTGAGTGTAACCATATCGCTGTGATAAAGCACGTCCCTGCCTGCTGGCACTTTCTCAAGGCTTCGCTGTCACACTCTTCGGTGACAGAGGAGCCAGAGCTCGCTGGCAGGTCTCTGATCCAGAGTCTGTTTTGAATACCTGATTATATGACACTTGAAATGGCGCTGGGGTAATAGGGGAGAGAATATTAAAGTACAACTAGATACAAAGTTTAATGCAGGATTTTTTTGGGGGGCATTTTGCGAAATAGTGTAAAACATAATATGCCGCCACGGTTGCTGTTATCTGATAAGCAATAAAGTTATAAAAAGGAAGTAATGTTTTTATATCACAGCACTACTGGCGTTTATTGTATTGGATTTCTTGGCTGCGGAATGCTGCTGCAACCCCTGGTGGGCAATACAGCAAACGAATGGGGGCGTCGGATATTGTATGACTAGAATTTTAAATGAAGAACAAAAGGAAAGAAGTGGGAGGCGAGACAGACAAAGAGATGGAGAGAGAGAGAGAAGGGAAAAAATTAGAGTGTTAGAAACAATGAATCCAGCACCCACTGAGAGAAATAATAGCACCCTAAATTTTAAGGCCGAAGTATGTGAGCGCACCTCGGGAAGTAGGCAATTTAACACACCTTTGAGACTCTGTGCTGACGCATGAGCAGACGAGAACATGCAGCCATTATGAGAGCCATAGGTATCAAGCATCTGCCCTGTTCTCTCCTCTTGTTCCTTTGCTCCTATATTTCTCTCTCACACTGCCTCCCTTGTTATCTCACTCTCACTATGAATTGTGTACAGTATGTTGTTCTGCAGCTAAGAGGCCTCCATTTCCACATAGATGGCTTTTTTGGGTAGCTGGAAAATTGGATGCTACTGTCCTGCCCTGTTTTGTTTTGGTTTTCCCTTCCTCCTCCTCCTCCTAGCGATGATGGGGGCGGAAGTTACACCAGACGACCGACAAATAAATGCCTTCTATCTAAAGCCTTGCAGATGCATTTATCTGAGCTTCAGTGCTTATGAATTATTTACGGGGGCGGGGGGACAACTCTACTGCAACAGGAGCAGACAGGGAATGAGGCGGGAGGAAGACAAAGAGACAGAGAGTGATATGCAGGCACACTCAAGAAAAAAAAGGATGGGTACACACAAGAGCAGGTGAATGCACGATCCTCCATTTAAACAAATACCATTAGGATGACCTCGAAATGCATTACGACAAATCTCCATGAAATGAAGTGAAGTAAAAGTAGCATTAAAGGAGAGAGAGAGGGAGAGAGGGAGAGAGGGAGAGAGAGAGAGAGAGAGAGAGAGAGAGATTAAATGGAATGGAAAAGAAGAGGAAGGCTGAAGTTTACACAGGCCCAGGGTCTGCTGTTATCCACACTATGAACCATTAGAACAACGAGCATAATGTCGGCTAGCCAGAACAGAACAAATATAGTGAGAGAGACAAGAGAGAGATAAATGGCTGGAAAAGAATCAGGAATTAAGGGGACACAAGAAGATGAGGAGAAAATACAAGTTTCATTCTGGGCTTGTTACTAAGCCCTTGCTTTGTTTTTCTGATGTGTATTAGTGAAGACGTGCTGACTTATTGTGATAATAATAATTGATTAAATAGTGTCTTCCTCCCCCTGTAACATGTTTATGAGATTTTGACAACATCTATGGGATGAATAATGATACTGGAAAAATAGATTTATTGTTATATCGTGATGATAATTATCATTGTGATAATATTTTTAAACCATATCAACCAGCTCTTACTCTACATCCATTGTTCTGTACAGTTCACACACACTCACATGCACAGTGAACACTAGTACAAGGACGTATGTCACAGCTCTTCGCTGGTGATGTGACCACATAGCACTGATTCCCTCTAGCTGCATTAGCTTCCTGGTTTTTTTTGCATTGAGAACTTTTAAGGCTTTACACAATCCAGCCGTTGTGTACATGGAGGGGGAACTCCCTATGACCCGGGGAGTCATCCTAGATCAGCTGATAGTGGGCATCTGGTAGTTCCCAGAGCCTGATTGGTGACTTAAGGCTACCGTGCTTTTGCAGTACGAGCCCCCAAACTCTGGAAGGACTTAGAGCTGAGATCAGAAATGCTACATCTGTTATTGCTTTGAAATCCTTTCTAAAACCATTGTTTTGTTTATTTTATTGTCATTTAATCCTCTTGTGAGGCACTTCAAACGTAGTTAAGAAATGTGCCATACAAAATCTTGTAGTAGTAGTAGTAGTAGTATCCACACTCTTAAAGTACCACACACATTGCAGAACAATAACATCACATGGGTTGTGAAGTGAGCTGAGCTGTATGAAAAAATAATCTTTAACAGTTATCTACAGTAGTAGATTGATAGAACCAGTAGAGGGGGTCTTACCCTGGCACTTCCCTATGACTGAACCAAAGTCATCTCTCACAGACCTGAGGAGCAAACACACATGCACAAAGTGAAAAAGCAGTTTCATTACACAGCACAACCAGGATACACACACCCGAGGGTGCAACCACACACACAGCCTGAAACGCCCTGGTGTACGGTAGGTTATAACAGCCACTGATAGCCTGCCAAGTCAAGTAGCTCAATGGATCAAGCAGACAGGGCCTTCAGAGTAGCCGGTGTTTGGACAGACTCTTAACAGAGCTCAGTGGATAAGGCCTTGAGCTGACATCACACTCACTCACACCAACTAATGCCATGAAACAAGGCCATAAAACACTGTGATTAAACAGCAGCCCTGTGAACAAAGGACACAAGAGAAAAGCAACACATCGTGGCGAGGTGATAGAAGCATAAATGGGGAGACTTTAATGCTTTCAATTACAACAGGTCAACATAAACATTAATCTGATTTAAGTGGACAACAGAGTGTGAAAATAAGTTGTGATTAAAGGGCCAAGAGGAAAATAGTCTTTTGAGTCAAAGTCAAATTTGCTGCTTATTAGCCTCTGCAGAGCAAGACATGCAGAAGCTTCAGAAAGTGAGGTTTTTGAATACATTTGAAGAAAAACATGTTTTCACTTGAGTAATTGAGTGTACATTGAAGGGCAAATGACTGCAATTTTTCCATTTAAATCTACAAGACGATAAAGAAAGGGTTCTGAATACTGTCTGAAGCCACTGTATTTGTCGACCAGGTTAATTGCTATTGATTTTCATTTCAATTTTGCTCCATTTAAACCCATATATTGTGTCAATATAGCAAATTGCTGAGTGAGTGCGTTTGCTCTGTGTAGGAGGGAAATTGTCTGAAAATAATTACAACCGCTAAAATGAGCACAAACATACTTTTGTGCGCTTTGGACTCTTTCTCTCACACAAACACAAATAATGAAAACATTTTGGAAGCACTGGTATTTTTAAATTGTTAGCATTAGTTTTATGTTGCCTGAAGTACCAAAGGGAGGCAAATGTTTCTGCACAAGCTGAGACTTAAGCACTTTTTGATAAGAAACATGAGGTGCTATAAATCACCCCTTTAATTACATGGCTCTCTGTGACTTTCACGTACAGATTGAGGGCCTCAAACGGCGGGATGGGGGTTTCAGTAATTACCTAATCTCCACACACTGGTCCTGAACCACTGCCAAGAGTTTGCCATTACTGTGGAGAAAACAAGAAAGGGGTCAGGAATGAACAAGAGAAACGAACAAATGAGAGAGAACACAAAAAGAGCGGGAGGTGAGAGGAGTAAATGGGGAAAAATAAGCGAACGATAAATAGAGAATCTAAGTCGGAGCTGAAATAAAGACCATCCAAGGTGATTAGGGAAGATAGCTCACGGTTATCAGTGGCAATGCACAACAGAAAGTGTTGTGCAGCAGAGTTTGGATGGCAGAGACACAAACTAGTTGGGCGGAGAGCAGGAGAAGTAATAATTGGGAGCATTAAAGAGAGCAAAGAGAGTTAGAGAGGGAATGAAAAGAGAGAGTAAGATATAAGGGCAGACAGATCAAATTGGAAGGATAAAGCACTTCAAACTAATGGACATATGCAGTGTCAATGGACCATGCTTAACACAGTGCTACATGGTTGAATCTATAGCCAATTAAATTCCACCTTTCTATTTGGTTTCTGTTCAAATGAGTACAATTAAAGTTGAGGTGGGGGACTCAAGGGAGAGAGGAAACCAGGAGAGGGGGTAAGTTTAGTGGATGTCAGTAACAGAGGAGCCCACAATCAAGTATTGATCGCAGAGTGTGAGTGTGAGTGAGTGTGTGTGTGTGTGTGTGTGTGTGTGTGTGTGTGTGTGTGTGTGTGTGTGTGTGTG